TTGGGCCTCTCACTGTTGTGGCCTCTCCCGTTGCGGAGCACAGGCTCCAGACGTGCAGGCTCAGCGGCCATGGCTCACGGGCCTAGCTGCTCCATGGCATGTGGGATCCTCCTGGACTGGGGCACGAACCCGTATCCCCTGCACCAGCAGGCGGACTTTCAACCACTGCGCCACCAGGGAAGCCCTCTTTCCCTAATCTTAAAAGAACTGCTTCTAGCATTTCATCATTGGGTGTGATGATGTTGACTTTTGGCGAGTCTGTTTGGTAGACTGCATAGTTCCTTTCTTTTTGTTTTAATAAATTTATTTATTTATTTTTGGCTGCGTTGGGTCTTCGTTGCTGCGCACAGCTTTCTCTGGTTGCGGCGAGCGGGGGCTACTCTTCCCTGTGGTGTGCGGGCTTTTCACTGCGGTGGCTTCTCTTGTTGCAGAGCTCGGGCTCTAGGCATGCAGGCTTCAGCAGTTGTGGCGTGTGGGCTCAGCAGTTGTGGCGCATGGGCCCAGTTGCTCCACGGCATGTGGGATCCTCCCGGACCAGGGCTTGAACCCACGTCCCCTGCATTGGCAGGCAGACTTCTAACCACTGCGCCACCAGGGAAGTCCCATAGTTCCTTTCTATTCCTAGTTTACTAAGGGTTTTCATCATGAATAGATACTGTGTTTTCCTTAATGATTTCTACGTGTATTGTGATGGTCATATTTTTTTCCTTTAGTCTTTACTTCTGTGAATTGCACTAGGAACAGTCTGTTTATATTAAGCCATCTTAGCATTCCTAGGATAAACCTTGGCCATTCATTTATTAAATTCACAGACGTTTACTGAATTCCTATTCTAGGGCCCAAAACTCAAATTCTAGGTGCTGGTTATATGGCTGTGAACACTAACAACAAAGCAAAGACAAAAATACTTGCTCTCATTGAGCTTACAGTTTAATGGTGGCAAGAGGTAGGCAGAAAATACACAAATATTTATATATGTTATACTGAATAGAGATATGTACCTAGCAGAAAATAAAACAGAAAAGGGGATAGGAAAAAAAATTCCAACCCCTTATTCTGAATGAGAAAGCAACAGTGGAGCAATAAACTGAAAGGGGTGAGGTCTGGGACTGTATTATTCCCAGTTGAAGACTGTTGCCCTGTGAGAGAACAGAAAGTATGAGGTGGTGCCTAGTTCAGAGAGATGTAGGTGGGCTGGTGAAGCACATAGTAAAGGGTCTTGCAGTGGTGTGCTGGAAAATGTTCAATGACCTGCTCTCCAGGAAAACCAGACAGACAAAAACATTCTTCCTGATTTGCAGCACTTACTGATTCCTGTGGTGGGAATACTTTCACCATAGATGATAGCAAACTACCAGAGAGAGGTCAACTGGCTTGCAAAATGCCTGGAATGTTAACAATTGCCTCTAGTATATTACTGGGTCTTAGAGACCATTGAAAGGACCTTAGCTCGGACTCAGAGTTGAGATGTGAGGTTGTTAGATAGTTTCGAGCAGCGTGTGCCACCTGAAAGAATACAAGAGAATAGTGACAAAAGCCTCACATATAAAAAGTGTGGGCAATTAGGGTCTCAAAAACTTTGTTTTGGAATAATCTCAAACTTGAGAGTAAGTTGCTGTCACTCCTGAATACGTTACTGTGGATTTCCTACAAATAAAGACGTTCTCCTACAAAACCAGCATGCAACACTCAAAATTGGGAGATATGTTACTGCCATCTTATACTCAGACCTTATTCAAGTGTTTCCAGTTGTCTACTTAATATCTGTAATACAAAGGAATCCAGCTCAGAATCATGCATTGCATCCTCATGTTTCCTTCGTTTTTCAATCTGGAAGAGATCCTCAGTTTCCTTGACTGACACTTTCGAAGATTACAGCCCAGTTATTTTGTAGAATAGTCCTCCATTTGGTTTTGTCTTCTGTTTCCTCAAGATTACATTCAGGTTATACATCTTTGGCAGGAATATCACAAAACTGATGCTGTGTTCTCATTGCAGCTTCTCAGGTGGCACATGATTTTGATTTGTTCCATTAAAGTTCACGTTAACTTTGAGAACTTAAATAGGGTGGTATCTGCCAGGCTTCTCCACCATAAATTGCCCTTTTTTTTCATTATCAATAAGTATTAATTGTATTAATAATTCTTTTCATTATTAATAAGTATTGAGACTATGTAAATGCCCTGTTCCTCATCATACTTTCCTTTTATTCATTTTATTTATTATTATTTTAAATTGAAGTATAGTCATTCATTTATTCATATCAGTATGGACCCATAGCTCTGTTTCATTCAGTGGGTTACTTTTTTTTCTCAAATTATAACCAGATGTGGCCAGGGGGAGTCCCTTCAAGATGATTTCTGTGTTTTTTTGTTTGTTTGTTTTCACATTCTTTGATTTCTTCTTTACTTAGTTGCACAGCAAGATATTCCAGGCTCAGGCTCATCTCATTCTTTTCCTGTCGCAGCCCTGGACAGGAACTGGACAGGGACAGTTTCATTTTTGTTTTGTTTCATTTTTGTTTTGTTTCACTTTTGTTCATTTTGTTTTTAAGTGGAAAATGACCTTCAGAAACCAAGATCTGGGCACAGAGTGTACTCATTACTATTGGCGTGTCACTTCTCCCAGACCCACTAGTAGACAGAACTAGAGCATGTGTGTATGACATATGTATTGTGTTTATGTATGCATGTATATGTGTGTTTGTAAATATATCATGATACACATACATATATATCTATATATATTACTGTATCTATTTATATGCATTGGAAACCATGACTTCACCCAGATATTTTAGATTCTAGTCTACCACCATAGGATCCATTCTGGTTTTCTCCCTTTCCCTCTTTGTAGCTGTTCTCCCATGGTGAGAATTATCCTCATGACATGTATTTACTTGGTCAGTTCCACTCTATGCAGTTAATCTTCCACTGGCATCCTTTGCCACTTCCCTTCCCTCCACTCAGTGTTGACACTCTCCTCACGTGCTTGGGCTCTGTTATGGACTGAATGTTTCTTTTCCCTCAGAATTCATATGTTAGGGCTTCCTTGGTGGCGCAGTGGTTGAGAGTCCGCCTGCCGATGCAGGGGACGCGGGTTCGTGCCCTGGTCCGGGAAGATCCCACATGCTACGGAACTGCTGGGCCCGTGAGCCATGGCCGCTGAGCCTGCGCGTCCAGAGCCTGTGCTCCACAACGGAAGAGGCCACAACAGTGAGAGGCCTGCGTACTGCAAAAAAAAAAAAAAAAAAAAAAAATTCATATGTTAAAGCTGTATCCCGTGATGGTATTAGGAGATGGGGCTTTGGGAGATAATTAAGTTTCAATGAGGTCATGAGTGTGGAGCCACTATGATGGGATTAGTGTCCTTATGGGAAGAGACACCAGGGCTTCCTCTCTCTGCCATGTGAGGATACAGTGAGAAGGCAGCCATCTGCAAGCCAGGAAGGGGGTCCTCCCCAAGAACTGCTAGCATCTTGATCTTGGACTTACCAGCATCCAGAACTAGGAGAAATAAATGTCTGTTGTTTAAGCCACCCATTGTGTGGTGTTTTGTTATAGGCACCTGAGCAGACTAAGACAGGCTCTGAAACTCCATGCTGAGCTGCCCCCACCTGCTACTCACATTCCCTCCTTTCTCCTCTTGGAACCTGATGTCCTTGCTGGGTGGCCTTGCTCACCCTGCTGGGTTTCTCATATCTACCCCAGGCTTCAGTGGTTCTCCCACCCTTTCGAAGGTCATTGGGGAGCTAAGATCCCACATGCCTTGCTGTCAAAAAACCAAAACATAAAACAGAAGCAATATTATAACAAATTCAATAAAGACCTTAAAAATGGTCCCTGTTAAAAAAATTTAAAAAAAAAACAATTTTGACCACGTTGCACACTTAGTTCCCTGACCAGGGATCGAACCCATGCCCTCAGCAGTGAAAGCATGGAGTCCTAACCACTGGACCGCCAGGGAAGTCCCAAGACTCAGGTTTTTGATATTCTGTATTGCCAATTAAGTGCAGATCTACACACTTCTAAAAGGAACTAGCCAGAAAGTAGTTTTAAAATTTTCTAAGGCAAAATAGGAGGCCTGACCAAGATTCACACCTGAACACACGGTATGGCCTCTCTACTTGGATGACATGCAAGTGGATGGCCCACCTTCTGCACTTCAGTGACACTGAGTGGATGGCCTGCTCTTGCTGTCAGCACTTAAGAGGGGATCCAGGTGCTTTGCTCCTCTGGTGCAATGCTGAGCATATTTCAACTTCATAGGAGTATCATCTCTATATGTCTTCATACCCTTCTGTACTTTTGGTGCCTGGTAGACAGCAGCTGTGTTTTACTCTGTTGCCAGCACCAAGTGATTTGTGTTTGTCGTGGACTGGATTAGTAAGTCCTTTCATGCCTGGTATTCATACATCACTAGATTGTTTTCTTCATTATTTGTTTATTCTTAAAATCGACAAAGTTTTTTCTCCTGTACCTTTTGTTTTACGTAATCCTGGCTTCCTTATGAAAATCCTGTATATCAAATACCAATGCTTTACTCTAATTTACTGTACGTAAAGTGAAACATTGAAATGCTGGTCTCAGAGGCAAGAATATGTCACTAACTCATCCATTCATTATTCACATAACATTTACTTAGTGCTTGGCCTAGGAGAGTCGCTGCCCCCCTCCACGTGCTTCCGTAGTCCCCTGTATTATGAATAAGTGCAACGTAGTTTTAATGCTCCCTTGATCATTCCTGTTTACTAGCCTGTCCCCTGCTTGGGGGTGTGGGGTGCAGAGGAAATATCATGTTAATCATTGTATTCCAGTACCTGGCACATGGTAGAACTCAAAAAAGGTGTGTTGAGTGAGTGAATGAATGTTGAAATCATGCTAGGATCAAGGGACGCATAGGTGAATAAGCCACCATCTTACGCTGCCTTGTTGAATTCTCTGGCCAAAAATACTTTGATGGGGCTTCCCTGGGGGCGCAGTGGTTGAGAGTCCGCCTGCCGATGCAGGGGACACGGGTTCGTGCCCCGGTCCGGGAAGATCCCACATGCCGTGGAGCGGCTGGGCCCGTGAGCCATGGCCGCTGAGCCTGCGCGTCCAGAGCCTGTGCTCCGCAACGGGAGAGGCCACAACAGTGAGAGGCCCGCGTACCGCAAAAAACAACAACAAAAAATACTTCGATGAGCAAGTGCGTGGTGCATGATAGACTAGCATTCCATTGTGCTGGTTTGCAGAAGCTGAAGTCAGGGGAACCGGTGGTAGGGAAGAGTCGGGGTGGGGAAGCGAAGTGGCAGGCTGTGCGGCAGATCCTGGAGCAGCCCAGGGGGAGGTCCGGGCTAGAGTAGATGGAGGAAGCCCTGAGATAGAGGAGAGAGTCGGCACTCAGGATCACTGGGA